TGCAGCTCAATTCAGAAAATTCAAACATGTCAGATGCTTTGCTCACACCTTGAACCTGGCATCGCAGCGTGGGCTTCGAGGCGCATCGCTTACCAGGCTTCTGGGAAGAATCAGACGTATATCCACATTCTTCCATCGTGGCACAACAGCAAGCAACTGTTTGAAGGTAAATCAGAAATGCCTGGGTCTGAAAAATCAAAAACTACTCACTGATGTATCAACAAGGTGGAACAGTTCCTACGACATGGTCCAGAGGTTTTTGGAACAGCAACCTGCCATTTGTGCCACCTTGTTGTCACCGGAAGTTAGAAAAGGAGAGTCTGACATCTGCACGCTCAACGAGACAGATGTATCTAATGCTGAAGACACTGTCAGTGCGTTAAAAGCAATGAAAAATGCAACCACACTGATATCTGAGGAAAGCAATCCAACCATCTCCTTGATTGCTCCACTCAAGGCACAACTTCTCCAAAACATGACCAGCAGCATCAGCGACTCACCCATGATTCACGACATCAAGAATGCTGTCAGAACAGATCTCATGCACAGGTACAGCTCTGAGGCAGAGAAGAAAATGCTTTGTACAGCCTCGGCCCTGGATCCCCGCTTTAAGGGATTACCTTTCCTGACAGAGAAGGAGCGATCAGATGTCTACAGAGAAGTGACTGAGGAGGCAACATGTTTGGAGGTAAATTCATCATCTTTCTTTTTGAATTAACATAAATTTCTGTATAATATTCTTAATAATTTGTCATGTTTGGTGTTGTAAGTAATTATTTACATTAGCATAAAACGAGTAAATCCACTGGAATGCTTTTATCATAATAAAAATAAATATTATGATAAGGTACATCAACATTTTCAAAAGTGTGATTAATCATTATTAAATATTTTAAAATATTTAAAGCCATACAATTTAGACAGACTAGTAAGTTCCCTATCAGATTAAATAATGATCTTTTATTTTTTCCCTAAACAGCAGGAGTGTATTCTGGCCATGCACCCAAAAGTTCCGGTGCAACCCGAAGTTCAGAAGGATGGAACCTCGGCAGACGATCCCTCGGCTGCTAAAAGAAAGCCTACATCATTACTTGTGAGCTTGCTGGGACAGTCTTTCAATGATGTTGAGGTTAGTGAAGAATCCAAGACCCCCTATGTCAGAGCTGAAGAGGAAATGGATAATTATTTGAAAACGTCATCATTGCCCCTGTCTGAGGACCCTTTAAACTGGTGGAGGGTACACAAGGTTGCATTTCCTCTCCTGGCTCGACTGTCAAAACGATACCTTTGCATCCCTGGAACAAGTGTATCTGCAGAACGTGTTTTCTCCACTGCTGGAGACGTTGTCACGGCCAAAAGATCTACTCTCTAACCACAGCATGTAGATCAACTGGTGTTTTTGCACAAAAACCTTCAACTTCCAAATGTTAACTAGTCATCATTGTGACTTTTCAGTACATCTTCTTAAATTCAAACAAATGTTAAAATGTTTGCACTTTTTGTTGTCACAAGGACTGTTATGTATTATTTGTGGATTCTCCAAAATATGTCAGTATTAAAAGATTTTGCAAACATCTGAAGAACACGTTTTTTTCCACCACACAGCCTGAGAAGTGAATGTCAAATAAGGAGGTACTTTTTCATGTTCTTAAGTCCTCTTAAATTTAAAGTTTTGCACTTTTGTATAAGGACTGTTATCACAGGAGAGAATACTTTCCAAATAATTGTTTCTCATTTACGGTTGTTCAGAGTTGTTAAATATTTTGTTAGCATCTACAGAACATGTTTTTCCGACAGCCTGAGACATTATTGTTTAATGAGGAAAGAGATTTTGTTTTTGTTTTTTTTTTTTTTTTGCTGTGCAATCCTCATAAATGGAAACTGAAGCTTCAAATGTTTTGTACTTTTACACTGTCCCAAGGACTGTTATCAGAAAGCTGTTTACTGCATATTTATACAAATAAAAGTTTTTGTTAAATAAAAAAGCAAATGTCTAACATATATTTATTGATGACATGAAATCCACATGAAATAATCGTGATGCATCGTGATGCATCGAGATATCGAATCGAATTGAATCGCTGACACAATAATCGTAATCGAATCGTGAGACTAGTGAAGATTCACACCTCTCAGTCTTAGAAAAAGCTAATGGTTGCGTGCTGTAGCTCATTGTATCCCTCAGCTACCAATGCTGCAGTTTTTGTTTAAAGTTTTTAGTTGTATTAAAAATTGTTCAAAAAGAACAGAGTTAAATACACATTTGATATTGTGCAATATGTGTTATGTAACAAAAGAAAAAGAAATAAGTGGATATTAAAAGGTTAAAAGCCATGCAGCCTTTCATGGTAAAAAGAAGAAAAGAAACCTTGTTAACCCATTATGGTGTGCTTACGAACTAATGGCTTGAATTGTAAAGTGTTAATTTGGATCTAAGTGTGAAGTATTTGACAGCCTTATGCAATAAGGTTTTCCATCCCATCTTCGTGGTGGATGTTCTCCTCTTCAGTGGAGATGGCGAGCTGTCCTGGACCTTGAAATCCGACGAATGTGGATTGTCCTTTCCCCGTCGTGAGGACCACGTTGTGGTAGGATTTTTCTGGCTTCCGGTGTGGGAGTCTGGAGCAGAACTGAGGGTGTACCCACTACAGCTGACCTTTGACTCATTTAGTCTTCCTCATCCCTGAGGGGGAATCCCTGACTAGACTCATTTATTTTGACTGACTTGGATTTCATTCCATCAACACAATTCCACAAACCTTAAAAAAGAAAACTGACTGTATTTCTTTAATGTTTTCTTTGTAAATTGTAAATGATGATGCCAGCTATAGGTTAGTTTAGTTTAGATAATATTTTGATCTGTGCCTTGTATGTTTTCTAATATAACGTTCTCCTCACCTGGTTGCCTCCTGCATTGTTCTTTCTTAGTACTACTACATGGAGTTGGACCCAAAATCCCAGAAGTTAGGTTAGCACTCTGGTTACAATTAGGTGTAGAGCAGAGAGAACATGAAAACAGTCCAGGAACTTAAATCATGACAGCTTGTCAGAAGTGCTGCAGTACAAATATTTTGAGATTCTGCAGTGAAACGTCACAAAATGGTCTGATTTTAATGATCCCACAGGTCATATGCAGCCAGAGCAAATAACCCTGGCTGCTACATGTTCTGCTGTATCTTCCCTTGTCAGGAGTCTGTGAGTCAGCACAACTCAGCATTTTAATCAGATGACTTCATCAGCTGAGCGCAGCTTCATCAGATAATAAAGATGAACAGTAGCATTCCTTTCCCCAAGGTTCCTTCACAAGAGAACTGTTTTAGATAAATCGTTATAACCAGAAGAAAGAAGATTTCATAATTAAAGTAATCATTTTATAATTCAAAATAATCGTTGAAGAAAGAAGATTTTATGATTAAAAATCATTACCTATTGCCATGTATAATTAAGCAATGAAATGTTCAGGAATCTGTATTCAGTGATGGTTTAGTATGTTTACAGGATGAGGACATCATTACACCAGACAGAGAGTAAGGTTAAGATTAAGAATGCATGACACATAACTAACCTTCTCCCTAGATTCAGAGACTGCGTCTCAGAGCGTGTGTTTCTGAGATTCTTGGTAAGTTTGGTCATAGATAACAGCGGCTGTTGGGAAAAAGTGGATTTTGTTGTCATTACTGCTTAAAAACATAACTGCCTCTTTTTTACGTGAAAACACCTGTTGCTTCATTAAAATGCTAGTGTTATCTTTTTACTAGCTTTCCCGTCTCAACAGGGAGGAGAACGACCTTCCTCAGATCATGCTGTTCTGTGTTAAGGTTACACTCCCATGTTGACTGATTGCATCTGGGTTTGTGTGAGTGAAGAGATGACAGTGTTTTTACTCCTTACGTGAAACAGCTTACCACCTGGTCTTACGGAGCAGTTTGGGAATGTGGTGTGATATGCTTTGTGTGTGTGCTTGGTTAATAAATACTCTCGGAGGACGATGGTTCGATGAGAGGTCTAGTGAACCATGTTTGGGTGTGTATTCATTTAATCTCTCCACTTTGCAAAGTAAATTTGAACAATAACATTGCTCTAATCCTCTTTGTGCATTTGGTTTCTCTTAAGGTGAACTGGTTTTAATAAATAAATAAGCCAACAGCGGGTATATAAACCAGCCGCTCTGCTTTCTCGGCAGTTGAGAGAGAAAGCTAGAGACTGGCCATCTTGTAGCAAATCTCTAGCTCAGAAAGATTTTGACACGCTGTCAAAACCTTAAAGCTTTTTGCACCTATGAAGTTGAACAAGATAGTTTTCCTGCCGAACAAAGCTGACTCAAACTCCTTCAAAGTTGATTTTAAGACGCTTGGTTCCATTCATCTATCGTTGTGACCCGGAGGCATCTGAGGACTGATTTGGTCACATCGAGGTTTCTCTACGAACCAGGTGCAGTGGGGTCGTCAGCTCCTGGACATCTCGGATCCAACTGGGGTCTCCAAATGGGTGAGGTAGACACGAGACAGCATCTGCATGTGGTTCTGATAATAGCAACTTAATAGTTTAGATGCAAACCAAATACTTTTATCGAGAACGCACCTCTCTGAAGATACGGAGATTCTGATTCATCATCTCATATTCACACAGTTTTCAGACACCCATCTTTTAGTTCCATCCACTCACAGGATAATAGTTTAAACCATTTGTCCAGTCTTAATTGTTTGTAAAATAAATTCTTATTTGTTTGCAAACACTGACTGGTTCTTGAATCATAAACGAAGTGTGAACGATCCCTTAATAATTAAATGAATCCTAGAACCTTCTAATTAATCATCCTAAGACCAAGCAAGGTGATATTCTATAATTAAGAGTATTACATCTATCGGTCACAAGTAATGAGAATAGAAATAAATAGCTTTTAAAGCAATTTATTTAGCCCACATTACTATTTCCCATTACAGCAGGAAGTGAAGGAACTAAAGCAGGCAAACATTTCACCAGCTCTGCAGTCACCAACTGTCCCAGTTTCCTAAAAGCTGTTCACGCCTCCAAGCTGCTCCTGATGTGCTTTTGTTGGTGTTCTGTGTGAAAGTCCAGAGGTGGAAGCAGGTCTCCAAGCAGACCCTTCATTAATCCTCTTGAGAGCCAACAGAGGTAGTCACAAAGCTGAGTATGAGTATGCAGTGGGAAACAGCAGGGGTCATGTTGTGGGACTTTATTAGATTTATCACACTGTGAGAAACCAGTCCTGGATTAAAGTTTTTAATTCTTATTCCAATACAAAGAAACAAAGCAGGAAGGATGCAGATCCTTTCTAATATCTAGAACAACACTTAGTAGCAAAGTCAGCGTTAATCTGATTGAAACGACGTCTCATGAAACTAAACAAAATAATAATGTAAAAGTAAAATAAAAAGATCTAAAACAAACATTCTAAGATATATCTAACAAGCTGTAACAGCTGCTTTAGCCAACAGCACAACAGAACACACAACACCTGTATGAGGGATTACACGCTAACAAGTCGGAAAGTTCCACTAAAAAGAACATTTAATTATCCGATATTTCCTAAATAAAATCCTCATAACAACCCTAGACAGAACAAGAAACGAGACATTCTTAATAAAAACACCATCATGTCTCCTGTCAAGTGATAATATCTCAGTCATTTATTCTCGCAATCTCAATGTAAAACTATAAATGAACTGGTCCAATTTATTAGTCTAGTAGATATGTTTCTACAACCATCAGCCAGAAAGGTGATTGAATGTTGCACTAGATCATGTTTTTGTCAAAACTAAAAAGGAAACACTAACTCAGACCAGGTAGGATGTAGACGAGATACACAGAGAAATCTCTTAACGCCATCTTTGATTAATCCTGATTTTTATCTGACAAAATGTGTTTAATTTGTTTAATCCATCAGGAACAAATTTCAGAATATTAATGAACTTCCTGACAGATTGTTCTTCTTGTCATTATTTCTGTTTACTGGAGAAAATTTAGCACAAATACCAGAAAATGTATCAAATGTTATAAAGCTTATTATCACCTAAATGGACCAATGAAAACAGTTTACCAACTTAAACGATCACACCCCCATGCTCACTGTTGTTTCTTTTTTCTAGTTTGTGTTTGCATTAAAGCTTCGCCTCCCAGTTTAATTGACAGCCCTCACTGCTTTCACCACACAATCAGCAGATGGAAATTGAGGCATCAACAAGTCATCTCCATGCTGTTTTTCTTCAGCACAGCAACTAAACCAGGTGATTTCAATCAGCACAGTGAATGAACCTTGTTCAAAATCGTGGCGTGGAGATGACTTGTTGATGCCACAATTCCCATCTCTGACAACCAGTTTGCAGGTTCTAAATGCAGCTTTAAACACAACATGGGAATCTGTTAATTATGGGACACTGTCTGAACTTGAAGGACGTGAAAAGTAATGGAAAACAAGCTGGACTGTCCCATACAAAGAGAGACACCTGGTCCTGGGGCCAATCCTGGAACCACCGGCTAACATCTGAAAAGATCTGTAGTTATATTTATACAACTCACAAAGTACAAACCACTGGTAAGATACATATGTCTACACTACATAAACTACTTAAAGGTATGGTTCACTGAATAAAGTATTTTAATGATTTTTTTTTCTGATTATAATTGGTCACTCTTATTCATACAAGCTGAACATGAAAATAGTCTCCTACACCTATCTCCTGCATTAGCGTCTGATCGATAATGACTGTGAAACGCTAGGATTAGAACATCCTGACAGATCTACGACACACTGTGACTTAACATTCATGGATTCACCCATGTTGACTCATAATGGGGAAGGCTGTTGTTGGTTTAGGGTCCAGGAAACAGCAGAGAACATTTTGGCTAGTAGAAGGTAACCGTTAGCAATAGCAACTCCACCATACAGCAGAACTCCTTCAGGCTTGTGTTATTTGTGGAGATAAAACATGAATGTTGCAGAGCAAACAGAGTCAGTGGTAGAGTTGCATTGCTGTTCAGAGGACAGATGTCCAGATATGAGGAAATAAGACTAACTCCTGTAATCTGAAGCTACTTCATCCTCCAGCTAAATTCTCCATGCTGATAAAGGAGCTTTTAGGCCATGTCCTGACCTCGGTTTGATTCCCCATTTCAGCAGTGTTTTCTTCTAGCCAGTATTAAGTTTTTAACTATTTATTGGTAAACTGTTTAAAATATAAGGACTATTTTTTTTTACTTTGTTTATTTTGCAAGCTTTTTTATTTGGCTATTTTAGTTTTATTGATTATTTTCTGCGAAATACTTTGTGTCTCTACAGATATTTGAGTTTAGTTATTTCCGAGCAGCAGTTAGTTGCAGGGCTCCAATGATCTATTCTCCTCGCCTCACATGGACTCACATCAGCCTCAGCTAGCTAAATAAATACAATATGATATTGGCGGCAATGTCACAGGATACCTCTTTGCCAATACCAATGGCTGATTCAAATTCAATGTAGTGCAGTTTAAACCTGAAGAGGGTGCTACACTAGCAGTTTTAGGTTGAACTAAAATGCTTACATAATGACCTCACTTGTATACAGCACCATTAGATACTCATTTATACAGTTTTTAAGCAAAAATGCTGATTCTGGGATGACTTGCTCTTCACACAGGTGATTTGTGTCCTGTGTGGACTCTCGTGTCCATTTCAACTTGATTTTACACAAAATCTTTGTCCACAGAGTTCACAAGCATAAGGCTTCTTTCCTGTGTGGACTCTCTCATGTCTGTTTAAACTTTGCTTATAGAGCTCCGGACCCCACGTGACTCTCAGTTAGTAGACGCCATATTGGCAGGCAAAAAAGATAAACAAACACGGATTGTAAACATGAACATGAACGGGATCGGCTTGGATTTTACTTCGTCGGAGTTTACTTCACACTTTAAAACCGAAGAAATCGTTTTATATAGACAGAAATTAAATAGACTAAACATCTCCGACCCTTACCGTGCCCCTGGGATACTTTTTAAAAACGCCAGAAACTGTCGGAGCGGACTTCTTACCAGACCTGGCCGGGCCGGGGAACCCCTTGGGATTTACCCGGAGGAGCTGGCCCAAGTGGCTGGGGAGAGGGAAGTCTGGGCCTCTCAACTTAGGCTACTGCCCCCGCAACCCGACTCCGGATAAGCGGATGAAAATGGATGGATGGACAAATAACAGATTTACACGTAATTAGTTTAAATGGAGTGCTGTGCTGTTTGAAAGTATAAACTGAACGCCAAGAGAAGTCAATAGTCTGATTTTTTTCCGTGAATAAATAAATATGTCAGGCAGGAGCGTCTCAGGATCTGTCTGAGATCTGACTCAGTGAGACAGATAATAGCAATCCAAAGTGCTTTTTATGTGTGATCTGACAATTGATCAACCATTGCTTAAAAATTAAATACAGCTTAGCCGGTTAATTGCTGTGATCATAAAACACGTAAACGACAGCACGCAGAACTCACGAGGCAACGTTTTACGTGACGTTTACCTGTTGCTGTGAGTAATAAGACAGAAAAAGCCACGCCAAAATAAGTTTAGGAAGCCCACTAAGAATCGTAATAAAAGCATTTAAAATAAATACCATACACAGTTGAGGAAACTTTGGTTTAAGTACCTGATATGAAGTGGTCGCTGCATAAGCGAAAACCTTTACTCTCGGGATCCCAGTTTCATTTTAGCCCGGTCACTAGTGCGTTTTATTACAATGATCCAACGTTTGCGGCATTCCGGATCGTGGGGAATCCTGTAGACGGCTCATTCCTTATGTCGTCCGCGTCTGTTCTGCATCCTGGGGCACAACAGGAATCTACCATATTTCCCGTTTGAGTTTTCTGACAATAACAAATAGCCCAGCTGCGGGCTTCTGCATGCCAAGATGGCGCCGTTTCGATTTGAACTGTTGCATGCCGGGAGAAGTGACGTCAACTCCCGGAGCTCTATAGCTAAATCTTTGTCCACAGAGCTAACGGGCATAAGGCTTCTGTCCTGTGTGAACTCTCGTGTGACTGTTTAAACTTTGCTTATAGCTAAATCTTTGTCCACAGAGCTAACGGGCATAAGGCTTCTGTCCTGTGTGGACTCTCATGTGCCTATTTAAACTTGACTTATGACCAAATCTTTTTCCACAGAGTTTACAGAGAAACAGTTTCTGTCCTGTGTGGACTCTCATGTGACTGTTTAAACTTGATTTAGCACTAAATCTTTTTCCACAGAGTTCACAGGCATAAGGCTTCTGTCCTGTGTGGACTCTCATGTGACTGGTTAAACGTGTCATGTGGCTAAATCTTTGTTCACAGAACTCACAAGCAAAAGGTTTCTGCCCTGTGTGGATTCTAATGTGTCTGTTTAAACTTGTCCTACAACTAAAGCTTTTTCCACAGAACTCACAGATCAAAGGTTTTTGTCCTGTGTGGACTCTCATGTGTCTGTTTAAATGTGACTTTACTCTAAATCTTTTTCCACAGAGCTCACAGACAAAAGGTTTCTGTCCTGTGTGGACTCTCATGTGACTGTTTAATGTCGTCTTTTGGCTAAATCTTTGTTCACAGAACTCACAAGCAAAAGGTTTCTGCCCTGTGTGGATTCTAACGTGTCTGATTAAACTTGTCCTATGACTAAAGCCTTTTCCACAGAACTCACACACCAAAGGTTTCTGTCCTGTGTGGACTCTCATGTGACTGTTTAATGTTGTACTTTGTCTAAATCTTTGTCCACAGTGCTGACATGTAAATGGTTTCTCTCCTGTGTGGATGCTCATGTGACTGTTTAAACTTTTCTTATGGGTAAAGATTTTTCCACATTCATCACAACTAAACGATTTTGGTTCTTTCTGGACTTCCCTGCATGAGTCTACATGTTGCTTCACTCTAACACACTTCTTATTAACCAAACCACCTGAAGACCTTATTACTGAATGACTCATCACTCTCACATGTCTTTGGAGAGACCACTTGTGGAGAAACTCTTTACCACACTCAGAGCAGCTAAAGGATTTGTTGGCAATCTTAACATCTGACTCAGAAGACCTGCTTTCATTCCAGTTCATGACTCCATTTCCAGTTTCAGGCCCAGCAGCTGATAGCTCAGAGCCTCGATTCCCACCACCACTGCCATTATCCTCCTCCTCCTCATCATCATCATCATCATTATTTCCATTAACTTCAATCTCTACAGTGTCAGATGTCTGTTCATTATGGTTCAGATCTGGGTTCCTGCTAGTTTCTGCTCTTCCACCAGTTTCTGCTGTCATCTGGTCAGCTGAAATGCTTGTTGGAACATGATGAAGAAGCTGTGAGAAAAGAGGGTTCCCTTCATCATCCTCACTCTTTATAGAAACTACAGTGAATGGAAACCTGGCGGGATCAGTCTCCTCATTCAAATGGAGCTGTTCTCCATCCAAGCTGGTCCAGAGTTCCTTCGGTTCCTCCTTTAGGTGGAGATGTTCTGGATCCTGCTGGTCCACTCCAGCACTGTGATCTTCAGAAGCTTCTTCTTTAACCAGCCCCATCTGTTGAACATCTGTAGTAAAGACACAAAGTGAATTACCAACCGCTTGACTATATTTTCACACACATAATTAACAGGTGTATTACTGGTTTATGTTGGCAAGATCAGCAACCGACTGACCTAGAAACAGGAAATTACTTTTTAATTGAGTTACTTTTACATGTGTGAGACACACACACACACACACACACACACACACAGTATAGGCCAAAAGTTTGGACATACCTGTCTCATTCAATGTGTTGTTTTTATGACTATTCATATTGGTAGATTCTCACTGAAGGCATCAAAACTATGAATGAACTCAAGTGGAGTTATGTACTTAACCCAAAAAAGGTGAAATAACTGAAAACATGTTTTATATTCGATTTTCTTCCAAAAAAAGCCACCCTTTGCTCTGATTACTGTTTTGCACACTCTTGGTATTCTCTCAATTAGCTTCAAGAGGTTGTCAGTCACCTGAATGTGTGCCTTATCAGGGTTAATTAAGTGAACTTATTGCTTTATCAATGGGGTTGGGGCCATTAGTTATGTTGTGCAGCAGTCGGGTTACTACACATACAACAGCCCTATTGGACAACTGTTAAAATTCATATTATGGCGAGAACCAATCAGCTAACTAAAGAAAAATGACTTTAAGAAATGAAGGTCAGTCAGTACAGAAAATTGCAAAAACTTTAATGGTGTCCCCAAGTGGAGTCGCAAAAGCCATCAAGCGCTAAAACGAAACTGGCACACGAGGACCGACCCAGGAGTAACCCCAAGCCTCAGAAATCACAAGTTATCAGCAGCTCAAATCAGAGACCACATAAATGCCACACAGAGTTCTAGCAGCAGACCCACCTCTAAAACAACTATTAAGAGGAGACTGCACAAATCAGGCCTTCATGGTCAAATAGCTGCCAGGAAACCACTGCTAAGGAGAAGAAACAAGCAGAAGAGATTTGTTTGGGCCAAGAGGCACAAGGAATGGACATTAGCTCTCTTCAACGGAGTGTCCAAGACATGCGTCTGAAGGTCCGATGAAACAACAACAAAGTCGATCATCGAGCTGTGGCCTAAGGTATCCTGGTGCCAAGAGCACATATGGACACCTTTATGTCTGAACATGGTGTTCATTATGGAAAACCATGACTGGCACAGAAGTCCAATAACAAAACACCACTCGAATTCAGATCGCGGGGCCGTTCCTCCCAACCACACCTCTCCAGGTCTCACTGTCATTGCCCACGTGAGCGTTAAAGTCCCCCAGCAGAACGAGGGAGTCACCGGAAGGAGCGCTGCATTAGACCAGTGGAAATCTGTGCTTATACACACACACACACACACACACACACACACACACACACACACACACACACACACACACACACACACACACACACACACACACACACACACACACACATATATATACCTCTCCCTGGGCTGCCACCTTACCATGGTGGAGGGGTTTGAGTGTGTCAATGATCCTAGGAGCTAAGTTGTCTGAGGCTTTCTGCCTCTGGTAGGGTCACCCATGGCAAACAGGTCCTAGGTGAGGGATCAGACAAAGAGCAGCCCGAAGACCTCTTATGATGCATTATATAAATGGAAACCGTGTTCCCTCGCCCGGACGTGGGTCACTGAGCCCCCCTCTGGAGCCAGGCCTGGAGGTGGGGCATGTTGGCGAGCGCCTGGTGGCCGGGCTTTTACCCATGGAGCCCGGCCTGGCACAGCCCAAAGAGGAAACGTGGGTCCCCCTTCCCATGGGCTCACCACTCATTGGAGGGGCCAAAGGGGTCGGGTGCAGTGTGTGACGGGTGGTAGTCGAGGGCGGGGACCTTGTCGGGCTGATCCTCGGCTACAGAAGCTGGCTCTTGGCACAATGAATGTCACCTCTCTGGTGGGGAAGGAGCCTGAGATGGTGTGTGAGGTTGAGAGGTTCTGACTAAATATAGTCGGACTCACCTCAATGCATGGCTCTGGCTCTGGAACCAGTTTCCTTGACAGGGGTTGGACTTTCTACCACTCTGGAGTTGCTCCCACTGAGAGGCGCCGAACAGGGGTGGGCATACTATTTGCCCCCCATCTTGGTGCCTGTAAGTTGGGGTTTACCCCAGTGAATGAGAGGGTAGCCTCCCTCCGCCTACGTGTGTGGGGGGGAAGGGTTCTGACTGTGGTCTGTGCTTATGCACCAAACTACAGTTCAGACTACCCACCCTTTTTGGAGACCTTGGAGGGGGAGCTGGAAAGCGCTCCTTCCGGTGGCCCTCGTTCTGCTGGGGGACTTTAATGCTCACGTGGGCAACGACAGTGAGACCTGGAGAGGTGTGGTTGGGAGGAACGGCCCCCCCGATCTGAATTCGAGTGGTGTTTTGTTATTGGACTTCTGTGCCAGTCATGGATTGTCCATAATGAACACCATGTTCAGACATAAAGGTGTCCATATGTGCTCTTGGTGCCAGGATACCTTAGGCCGCAGCTCGATGATCGACTTTGTTGTTGTTTCATCTGACCTGCGGCCGCATGTCTTGGACACTCGGTTGAAGAGAGGGGCGGAGCCATCAACTGACCACTACCTGGTGGTGAGTTGGCTCAGATGGTGGGGGAGGATGCCGGTCAGACCAGGCAGGTCCAAACATATTGCGAGGGAACGTCTGGCAGTCTCCTGTCAGAAGAAGCTTCAATTCCCACCTCCGACAGAACTTCCAAAATGTTCCGGGGGAGGTGGGGGACATGGACCCTGTTCCGTGCCTCCACGCCTGGGACGACGGTGGCACATGAGTTAAATGCTCGGCCCCATAATCAGAAGGTTGCAGGTTCGAGCCCCGCTCAGTCTGTCGCTGTCGTTGTGTCCTTGGGCAAGACACTTAACCCACATTGCCTGCTGGTGGTGGTCGGAGGGACCGGTGGCGCCAGTGCTCGGCAGCCTCGCCTCTGTCAGTGCGCCCCAGGGCAGCTGTGGCTACATTGTAGCTCATCCCCACCAGTGTGTGAATGTGTGTGTGAATGGGTGAATGACTGATTGTGTTGTAAAGCGCCTTGAGGGGTTCCAGGACTCTAGAAGGCGCTATATCAATTACAGGCCATTTTACGATTTTTTTTTCATTGTTGAGGCGGCCGACTGGAGCTGTGGTCGCAGGATCGTCGGTGCCTGTCGTGGTGGCAACCCCGGAACCCGCTGGTGGCCACCGGTGGTTAGGGATGCTGTCAAGCTGAAGAAAGAGTCCTTTCAGGGGTACCAGCAGTCCAAGCGGAACGTGGCTCGGGTGGTCGCCAAGGCAAAAACTGGGGAGGGGTTCGGTGAGACCATGGAGCAAGACTTCCGAACGGCTTCAAGGAGATTCTGGTCCACCATCCGGCGTCTCAGGGAGGGAAAGCAGTGCGCTACCAACACTATCTATAGTGGGGACGGTGTGCTGCTGACCTCTACCCAGGACGTTGTGGATCGGTGGGCAGGATACTTCGAAGACCTCCTCAATCCCAGCAACACGTCTTCCAGTGAGGAAGCAAAGTCTGGGGACTTCGGGTTGGCCTCTCAAATCTCTGGTGCTGAGGTCACTGAGGTGGTTAAAAAGCTCCTCTGTGGCAAGGCTCCAGGGGTGGATGAGATCCACCCAGAGATCCTTAAGGCTCTGGATGTTGTGGGGCTGTGTTGGCTGACGCGGCTCTGCAATATTGCGTGGACATCGGTAGCAGTCCCACTGGACTGGCAGACTGGGGTGGTGGTCCCCTTATTTAAAAAGGGGGACCACAGGATGTGTTCCAACTACAGGGGATCACACTCCTGAGCCTTCAAGACCATCAAGTCTATTCAGAGGTTCTGGAAAAGAAGGTCCGTCGGACTGTTGAACCTCAGATTCAGGAGGAGCAATGAGGTTTTCGTCCTGGCCGTGGAACACTGGAGCAGCTCTATACCCTTAGGGGGATCCTGGAGGGTGCGTGGGAATTTGCCCAACCAGTCTACATGTGTTTTGTGGTTTGGAGAAGGCGTTTGACCGCATCCCTCGGGGGGCCCTGTGAGGGGTACCAGGCCCTTTGATACGGGCTGTTAGGTCCCTGTATGACCGTGTCAGAGCTTGGTCCACATTGCCTGCAGTAAGTCGGGCTCGTTCCCAGTGAGAGTTGGACTCCGCCAAGGCTGCCCTTTGTCACCGATTCTATTCATAACCTTTATGGACAGGATTTCTAGGCGCAGCCAAGATGTGGAGGGCATCCGTTTTGGTGGCCTGAGGATCAGGTCTCTGCTTTTTATGTTTATGTTTATTTATTTGTTTATGTTTATTTATTTGGCAAACGCTTTTATCCAAAGTGACTTACAATTTTATAACCTATAGGGCATGTTGTGATCTGTGGGGGAAACGGGAGTGCCCGAAGGAAACCCACGCATGCATGGGGAGAACATGCAACTCCACGCAGAAAGGCCGCAGCCAAGTTTCGAACCTGCAACCTTCGTGCTGCGAGGCAACAGTGCTAACAACTGCGCCACCATGCAGCCCCATGCAGATGATGTGGTCCTGTTGGCTTCAGATGATGTGGTCCTGTTGGCTTCATCAGAACATGATCTTCAGCTTTCGCTGGAGCGGTTCGCAGCCAAGTATGAAGCAGTTGGGATGAGGATCAGCTCCTCTAAATCTGAGACCATGGTCTTGATTCGGAAAAGGATAGAATGCCTTCTCCGGGTCAGGGATGAGGTCCTGCCCCAAGAGGAGGAGTATAACCCCCAAATTCCACTATCTCCGCTCCGCCACAAACTCCGCAGCAAAAACGGTCCCGTTGTAGTCAATCAGAGCTGTTCCACTACTGCGGCCGTGCGGCGCAGTGCACCGCCTGCCATTCCGCCATCCAGCAAAAATAGGATCGATTCTATTTTTGCCGGACGCTGGAGCACCTCCACAGTCAATGGACATAAATCACAACCGCCCAACAGGAAAGGGAGCAAGCACAACTTCCGTTATTTCACAATAAATCGATAACAAACAGCGTTTTTTTTTTTTTGTTTCATATGCACAGGTTTAACAACGTTTAACTATCAATGGCGGTTGAACTTTAAATGCACAAAAATAAGCCATAAATACAGTTTCACCTATTAAAGCAGTCATCCTTTCTTGATCCAAACACTGCTGATCTCTCAACACAAATGATGGGCAGATTAAACAGTTCATTTCGATGCTTCTCCCACACAACGGGTGTTTGGATCTAACTTCTGCATTTATTGCTCGGACTGTATCGCAAGATCTCGAAAATCCCGCGCATGCCTGTTTGCGCACCTCAGGTCTCCGCACCGGAGCGGAGCCGTTGTAGAGCGGGTACAGTATAATTTGAGCTCGGAAGCGAGCGGCAGCAGAAAGCGAGGGCGGAGCGGAGATAGTGGAATTTTGGGGTAAGTATCTCGTGGTCTTGTTCACGAGTGAGTGAAAACTGGAGCATGAGATCGATAGGCGGATTGGTGCTGAATCTGCAGTGATGCGGGCGTTATACCGATCTGTCGTGGTGAAGAGAGAGCTGAGTCAGAAGGCGAAGCTCTCGATTTACTGGTCGATCTACGTTCCTACCCTCACCTATGGTCATGAGCTTTGGGTAGTGAGATTGCGGATACAAGCGGCCGAAATGAGTTTTCTCCAAAGAGTGGCTGCTCTCCCTTAGAGATAGAGTGAGAAGCTCGGTCATTCGGGAGGGGCTCGGAGTAGACCCGCTGCTCCTCCACATTGAGAGGAGCCAGATGAAGTGGCTCGGGCATCAGGTCAGGATGCCTCCCTGGTGAGGATTTCCAGGCACGTCCAACCGGGAGGAGACCTAAAGGTAGACCCAGGACACAGTGGAGGGACCATGTCTCTCACCTGGCCAGGGAACGCCTTGAGAATCCCCCGGAGGAGCTATATACATATATATATATATATATATATATATATATATATATATATATATATATATACATATACATATACATATATACATTTACATATATATATATATATATATATATATATATATATATATATATATATATATATATATATATATATATATACATATACATATACATATATATATATACATATATATATATATATATATATATATATATATATATACACATATGCATATATATATATATATATACATATATATATATATATATACATATATATATATATATATATATATATATATATACATATACATATATATATATATATATATATATACATATACATATATATATATATATATATATATACATATACATATATATATATATATACATATACATATATATATATATATATATATATATATATATATATATATATATATATATATATATATATATATATACATATATATATATATATATACATATATATATATATATATATACATATACATATATATATATATATACATATATACATATACATATATATATATATATGTATACATATACATATATATATATATATATACATATACATACATATATACATATATATATATATATATGTATATATATATATATATATATATATATATATATATATACACACAGTGGGGCAAAAAAGTACTTAGTCAGCCACCGATTGTGCAAGTTCTCCCACTTAAAATGATGACAGAGGTCAGTAATTTTCATCATAGGTACACTTCAACTGTGAGAGACAGAATGTGAAAAAAAAATTCATGAATTCACATGGCAGTATTTTTAAAGAATTTATTTGTAAATCAGGGTGGAAAATAAGTATTTGGTCAATAACAAAAATTCAACTCAATACTTTGTAACATAACCTTTGTTGGCAATAACAGAGGTCAAACGATTACTATAGGTCTTTACCAGGTTTGCACACACAGTAGCTGGTATTTTGGCACTTTCCTCCATGCAGATCTTCTCGAGAGCAGTGATGTTTTGGGGCTGTCGCCGAGCAACACAGACTTTCAACTCCCTCCACAGATTTTCTATGGAGTTGAGGTCTGGAGACTGGCTAGGCCACTCCAGGACTTTCAAATGCTTCTTACGGAGCCACTCCTTTGTTGCCCGGGCGGTGTGTTTGGGATCATTGTCGTGTTGGAAGACCCAGCTACGTTTCATCTTCAAAGCTCTCAGTGATGGAAGGAGTTTTTGGCTCAGAATCTCACGATACATGGCCCCATTCATTCTGTCCTTAACACGGATCAGTCGTCCTGTCCCCTTAGCAGAAAAACAGCCCCAAAGCATGATGTTCCCACCCCCATGCTTCACAGTAGGTATGGTGTTCTTGGGATGCAACTCAGTATTCTTCTTCCTCCAAACACGAGTTGAGTTTATACCAAAAAGTTCTACTTTGGTTTCAACTGACCATATGACATTCTGCCAATCCTCTGCTGTATCATCCATGTGCTCTCTGGCAAACTTCAAATGGGCCTGGACATGCACTGGCTTCAGCAGCAGAACACGTCTGGCACTGCAGGATTTGATTCCCTGCCGTTGTAGTGTGTTACTGATGGTGACCTTTGTTACTGTGGTCCCAGCTCTCTGCAGGTCATTCACCAGGTCCCCCCGTGTGGTTCTGGGATTCTTGCTCACCATTCTCATGATCATTTTGACCCCACGGGATGAGATCTTGCGCGGAGCCCCAGATCGAGGGAGATTATCAGTGGTCTTGTATGTCTTCCATTTTCTGATAATTGCTCCCACAGTTGATTTTTTCACACCAAGCTGCTTGCCTATTGTAGATTCACTCTTCCCAGTCTGGTGCAGGTCTACAATTCTTTTCCCGGTGTCCTTCGAAAGCTCTTTGGTCTTGGCCATAGTGGAGTTTGGAGTCTGACTGTTTGAGGCTGTGGACAGGTGTCTTTTATACAGATAATGAGTTCAAACAGGTGCCATTAATACAGGTAACGAGTGGAGGACAGAAAAGCTTCTTAAAGAAGACGTTACAGGTCTGTGAGAGCCAGAGATTTTCCTTGTTTGAAGTGACCAAATACTTATTTTTCCACCCTGATTTACAAATAAATTCTATAAAAATCCTGCCATGTGAATTCATGGATTTTTTTCACATTCTGTCTCTCACAGTTGAAGTGTACCTATGATGTAAATTACTGACCTCTGTCATCATTTTAAGTGGGAGAACTTACACAATCGGTGGCTGACTAAATACTTTTTTGCCCCACTGTAGTTGTCATCATCAACGTTACATGATTTACAGAATACATGTGACCCCCACATGTGGGGGGTGCACAAGCCTGTGTGTTTTCTTTTGTTTTTGTATGTTCTTGTATGTTATAAAAAATCTGAAAATAATAAAAACTTTAATTATAAAAAAAAAAGAATACATGTAACCAACTAACATTTTGCATTCAACCACCGGATGTTTGGATCAAAATGTGAACCAATCAGATCTTAGATCAGGTGAGAGCCAGGCGTTTGCCATCATGCCCAAGGTTTTGCAGCTGGTGGAGAGCAACTGCAGCGCCTTGCTCCAAAATCTGCGGCCGCCTTGATCTCACGAGGTTATCGTTGTCTACGTATGCATGACGTCAGACCAAGTCGGCGTCAAGTCGGACACAAAGCTAATCAGCAAGCACTGCGCGCCGATCACCGGTGATCTAATCTGCGCATCACTGGCTCATCTCGAACATGGCCGATCTTGAACCCGAGCAGATCCTGTACCGACACCGGATCTTCTTCAGTCCTAAATCCGCCCCTGATTTTAGATATCTGAAATGTTCATTCTGGACTAAAGGAATGTTATTATGGATACTAGATTGTTAATTTCTACTAGGAAGTATAGAATTATAGATATGTGGAATATCTTGCCAATGCATTTTATGATTTACGACAACTTCTGAACTTTGTAGTAATGCTTTCCCTTGTTCTCAGATTTTGGTGATGAGGAGATAAACAAGCTCACAAGTCACTTCTGACCTCTTCTGCTGTCTGCTGGAGCGGATGAGGACTTGATCCCTGATCAATGGACAATTCTTAAGGCTGAACTGTACACAGCAGGATTTAGCCAAGGTATTTAGAGAATGATGTCAGAGAAAAAAATTAACATTGATGTTCCTAAATGGCAAAGTTTTTAACAAGTCCTTGAAAAGCTAAATGTCTAATAGTGTAAGATTTTGAATTGTTAAAAGCGCATTACAAATCTAATTATGTCTTTAAAATAATATATAAAGTAGCATTTTAAACTATTGCTTGCTAGACTGTAATTTTGTCTGACCCTTCTGCAGGAACTTTTGAGAAAACCTGGCCTACTGTGAACAGAATGCTGCACCATCGGTGTCCTGACGTCCTTTACCTCTTTGATGCTCTCCTCACCATCCCTGCAAGTACAGCTGACTGTGAAAGAGGGTTCAGTGTCATGAAGCAGGTAAAGAGTGACTGGCGTTCACGCCTGAAAGGTGAGACCCTCTCTGACCTCTTGAAAACCCAGTTGTGCTCACCTGACATTAAAGACTTTGATCCAACCAAAGCCATTGACATCTGGCATGCTGACAGTTTGCGCAGACGCAGGCCTGAATTTGTGCGCAAAAATGCAACAAAAGAAACTGATGCTTACTCAGATTCAGAAAAAGAAACACGTTCAGAGAGCTCTGAGGATGAGGATGTTTGATTCAGAGGGAAGAGATACAGAAGGGAAAAATAAATCAGTGTTGCACTTTCTATATGTTCTTGTGTTCATTGCACTATGTGTGCGTTTTTCACAACAGCAGTGTTAATAAAATGACAAAATCTTCATTCAGTGGCATTCATAATCTCTTTTTTGACTGCAGAAAAAAATGGCTAGTGGGAATCCAAAGTGGCTAGTAACTTCCCGAAGTTACTAGCCACTTTGGCTGATGATCAAAAAGGTTAATTTTGAACCCTGATTATTACTATAGAAACAGGAATTAATAGGAGGTCCGATTGTTGATTAAATGTAAAAACGGTTTGCCATACCATACCTGCCTCCATGGTGCCCAGACTCTTTTTCCGCCAGAGTCACATTCAGATTCGGGGCTTCTCCGTAGGAGAGTGTGAGCAGGATGGATCAGAGAGCGAGCAGCGATCCTGCATCATCACCAACTCAGATGACCGAGTCTGATAGAGGTAACCTATTCAGTCTGATGGCGGCGGAATGAGCGCGTTTCACAGAGAGGCCAAATAAACAGCAGCAGAACCAGAGGGCAGGGAGTCCTGGGAAAAGCTTTTCTGACCGCTCGACCTGATTTTGGAGCTCCGGTTGTGACGAACACCGCAGAATATCTTCCCTGGTTCTGCAATGAACTCGCACCAAGTGTTGAGGAGAGGAGGACGTTTCCACAACCTGGTGAGAATATTTCTGCTAGTCGCTGTAGCTGATCCCCTCCCTCTCAGAGACCGAAGTGGTAGACGTTTTTTATTGCAGCAGAGCCTCAAATATTCACCTCACACACCAGAGCAACAAGCTACTCTGCTACATCTTCCTGTTTTCTACTTCTTGTTGTATTAGTTGTTATGGTTGGTGACCAACGTAAATGCACTACCACCACCTACTGGCCAGAAGTCTGGAGGAACAGCAATAACCTGTGTGTTCTGCGATTGACTAAAACCACTTCTGATAACGTGCCCCAGGCAGTAAACACGAGTTATTTGCCCTCGGTTATAGTATGGTTTTTATTTAATGTCCAGACTGTCTGACATAAACTACTTGATTGCCAACTTCTCTTTTCCATGCTTTTGTAAAATGCAGCTTTTGTGCTGTACAAAACATCAACATCTCTACAAAATCTCCTTAGATCTAGTTGTGTCAGTGGCTTTGAGGCTTTGATGCAGCCTATCTGGCTCCCTGCACTTCTACTCATTGACGATAGGGGAGACTAACTTTACAGATTGATGCTGTGGTTGGGCTGCCCCGCCTTATATAAAATTGATTAATAGAAAAAGATAATTAATATTTGCACTACATAAAATGATTTGAATGCATTTGATATTTTTGTACCTCCTGGCATATATTTTGTGATACATTTTGTAGCTGACAATCAAATATTTGGATAAAGCTGTCTTACCCCACAATTATTAACACTTTGTGTTAACTTACCTCATGTAAGTTAACACAAAGTGGAAATAAACTTTGGGTGTAATCTTTGTTTTGGAATGAAATATAAATTTAATTTTTATCTCTTATTACAGGTCATCACAGCATGCACCATCCTGCACAACATCTGCCTCAGTGCGGGTGACGTGGTGCAGGACGATGCACCTGAGGATGATGCTGCAGAAGATGAGGGGGAGGCTGGTTTGGAGGCAGTCAGTGGTGCCCTCTGGCGGGACCAACTTTCTGCTGAGGTGTCTGCTCTGGAGGAAGTACCACCAGACCATAATTACTGTTAACAGGCAAGTAATTTACGTAGGAATCTCTAGTTTACAAATCGTTTAGTCTTGTTATCTGCTAGAGTTACAAGTATTATACTCATGATCTCTTTTTTTGCATATATCTGAATGTTAGTGATGTGACAGCCGTCGATTGAGCCAGCCCAGCAAACCCTTTTGATGGACGATGAGGCATCCAGAAGCATCCTCTGCAGACCACTCTGTCTGATGTTCCACTTGCCAACCAGAAAAGTTCAGCCTTGGATCTCGGTTCCTGCGCTCCATCCACCTCGATGATCCATGTTCAGCAGATTTAGCATCACCACCAAAGACTCCCTGCTTTCCAAGTTTACTGTATATAGTTTGCTTTTATCTTTAATTTTATTCCTTACAGTGTTCCCTTACCTTTTATTTACTATGTTGTTACTTGTTAAAAACTGAATAATAAAACTGTTAAAATGATCGAAAAAGAGTTATCAATTAATAGAAATTTTATTACATTTAATCAAATAACAAAAACATTCAAACACATAAATTGAACCTGAACCAGAAGAAACAAAAAAAAACTTTCTCTACCATCCTTTCCATCAATGCTAAAAATCTGTCCATCGTTCTTTCTCTCCTCTCCTCCGCTTCCCTCTGTTGTCTCATGTCCTCCCTGATCAGGTCAAGGAGCTCATCAGCCCTTCTCCTTTTTCTCCCTGATGAGGAGTCCGGCTTCCTTCCACCACTCTCCCTGTCCTCTGTCTCACCCACTGCTGCACTTGGCCCTGGAGTGTCCTCGGGAATGGAAGCAATAAGGACAGGAGGCATAGTGGAAGGCCTCTGTCCCAACACCTCGTCCATGGGGACAAACCAGCACTGGGCTTTCTCCTGACCAGTGGCGGCTGGTGAAAAATGTTTTTGGTGGGGCTGTGCTATTTTTTTTTAAACAAACTTGTGCTTTCTGAGCTTTGTGCACAACTTCACTATTTCCTGAATCAAGCACAGCTCTTTTATTTCCTGTCTTACATCATTGGACAAACTGATTAATCCAAGTGTGTCTGACTATTGGCAAACTGCCTTGCGGACCAAGGTTGAAAAATACTGCATTAAATTGCACATAAAATAACACGACCATAAATGGTAAATAGGCAATGCAAGAGGCAAGTAACAAAAACATTTTGTTTAATTTCAACATTTGAGTGAACACGAAAAATTATGAGCAGGTCACTGTTACAGTAATGGTAGTAAACACTACTTAGACAAAATGCCAGAAATTTACACTGTTAGGACTTATGGAAAGTGGAAATACTTTCATAGGAAATAATGTCATCAGTATCCTCTTACAAATGTCATATTTCCCACTTTTGGGACAAATCAGAAATGTTTTATTGTCCCAAAAGCTGGGAAATTTGTTTGCTGCAGCAGAAGTGTAACAAGTAAAATGGAATCAGATTGATGTATGTACAAATTTACATGAAATACACATTTACATGATTAAATATGTATAATAGGTATGTGTGTTGAAATTAGTTTTTACAGTTATTGCACATTAAACAATGTACATGTTGTTAAACAAATGTCCCGGTTTGTGGGACAACCAAGGATTTCTGATTCTGATTGTCTTGTTTACAGAAATGTAATGTACAGCTTACCTCTGCACCCAGCTGCTGTTCTCCCTGTCCAAACGTCCTCCGTTTCTTTGTTGGCTGCTGCACTGATGCGCTGCATTCCTCAGTCAGAGAATGAATGGAGTCCCCAATGAGACACAAGTTCCACATCCACCTTCTGTGGATCCCAGCCGTTTTGAATAACAAACACAGAAAGCAAAATAACACATTAGCGTGATTGCATCCAGCTAGCCACTGCTTCCTGGTGTACCAATTTTGGGAGAAGCGTTGTGTGTACAGTTTACCTCTCTCCTTGTCCTGCTGGCTTATCTTTACGTCGGGCTGATCTGGTCCAAGCTCTTTGACATTAAGTTTTTCCACCATAGTTCTCCTCTCGAACGGATACTGGAGAAGAGACCGAACTGAATTCAGTGGCTACTTAGATCCGGTATCCATGTTGTAGGCGCACTGGCGTCCATGTCTACGTCTGCGTCACGACCGTCACGAGTCACGACCAAAAACGTGCTGGAGTCGAGACTCTCCGAGTTCTACCGAACACCAACGAAAGCCTTGGCGGTAGCTCTATCGCCCATCATGCTTCTGAAACGTTCTGAAACGTTCTGAAACAACGTCGCCGCTGATTGGATACATTCTCATTCTTACCCTTTGATTTTCTTGTCAGCAATTGGACAGCTGGTCTCGTCCTGTTTGGGCGATTGAAAAACAGCATACAGCCTCCACCGCTAGGCAGAGACCGGCAGAGACCAATATATATATATATATATCTATATATATATATATATATATATATATATATATATATATATATATATATATATATATATATATATATATATATCAGTGGTGGGCAGTCAGGGCCAGCAAAGCCTTCTCTGCTGGCCTAAACGTACTCAAAAACGTAAATGTATTTTTTTCCTTTGGTAATTATTTTTAAATTAAAAAATATGTTCACTGGTCTATTTTCTTTATATCCTATTATACCCACTTGGCTGCGCTGCTTCCAGTGTTAAAATACCAAGGCTGGGTGTTATCCAATCAGATTTAAGCTAGCTTGTGTTTTCAGGCAGATTAAGTCTGCTCTAGGCCTTCAGAATCAATCGAGAAGCCCACTGTCCGCTGTAAGTGAACAGAGACGATCTAGTTGCGATAGCCAATCAGCTCACGAGTCGGCGTGGCCCAGGCCTCACGCAAAAGTTGACATGAACGCATCCTGTGATTGGATAAGCAGTAGTTAGAACTTTTCTAGCGGCATGAAGCAAAATATCAAAACTAAACACAGAGATTTGTATCTATAGGCAGCTATCGGTGTGTTTTTGAACACATGATGGCTGAAAGAGGAGAAGGGACAGACCTGGTGGCAGATTTACTTGCCACACCATTTTCCAGACGGACCTTTCAAGAAAAAATGGATCTTGTTAGAACAGGTCGTCCGACTCCAATGCTAGCTGGCTTGTCCCAGCAGGGGAAAGGATTTGTTTGTCATTTTCAGGCAAGCAACTATGAACGGTACCCATGGCTAACAGCTTCAGAGAACCGCTGCAGGTTATTCTGCTGGGAACGCCTGTTGCTCGCATCAGATGGATTTGGTAGCATTAAAGCGCGTTAAAACGAACGCCAGAAACATGACCGGACAGACACGTCTTTCAGCATTAGCCTCCATGTCCATAGAAAAGGATCCACTCATGGACCTGAAGTGCACAGATAAACTGTACAGAGCCACTGAGGTTTTCCTGAGGAAAGAAAGAAGGATGGATTTTATCTTCTAATGAGCAGGAGAGGAGGAGATCCATGCTGGACATTTATGTTGGTGAGTAGAAAGTATTTTTTAATGTTTTGTCATTTCATTTTGTTAAATGGTAACGAAATAAAATGGCTAAATGAAATAATTCTATGTGTTCTGTTTCTATGCAATTTATATTGTGAATGACGTGGTGTGTGCAGCTGCGCCAACATGTTCAATTGTTTCGCGGTGCAATTTTCTCCAAAACAAATGCAAATAATGTGTTTGCTTTACTTATTTATTTTACTGTCTCATCTCTTAAACCCGTCTTTCATTTTTGAGATTTGACAGTATCCGTGGTCTTAGCTTCCTACTCTCAATTGGGAATGCGAGTTTGATTTTAAAGGCTCCGGAAATGACGTCTTGCCCAGCCACTGGTGTGTGTGTGTGTGTGTGTGTGTGTGTGTGTGTGTGTGTGTGTGTGTGTGTGTGTGTGTGTGTGAGAGGTTTCTCCAGCTGTGATGTCCTACTGATGGTATTTTAAGGTGTGTTAATTTAGATTGGACTGAATAGGAAATCACTGAAGGCCCAGGGGTGGAATGCACCGCCCGCCACTGATATATATATATATATATATATATATATATATATATATGATTTATTTTTGTTACAAAACACACAATTAACTTAGAATATGTGATTATTGTTAATTTTATTTATTTATTTTTTAAAATAAAAATTAAAAACACAGGGGAAACTGGGAGGGCGGCGCCCTATCGCCCTCTACTGGCCAGCCGCCACTGCTCCTGACCCTGCATACTCGCAGTCCTAAACACAAAGGGAATAAGTTAGAAGGCTTTATTGTTATTGTATAACAGAGAACATTGTGGCCACAATTAAATTACAGACGCTCCTTCAAGGTACAGGCTCTAGATGAGTAAGACAATCAGGATAGAGAGGATTAGAAGAACAAAGACAAATTAGAATTCATAGTTGATAAAAAATGCAATTAACACAAATTAAATGTATCAACATGTGGAGATGAAAATGGTGTCCTGTACCGCATGTGTACATACTTTAATATTTAGTTTTGAGGTTATCCCATTTTTTCTTGGCCTGCAATGGGGTGACCTTCTCCTGCAGGCCCATCTTCTGCATCATCCTAAAGACATGATACAGAGAACCAGAGAAGAAAGAAAACATGTGAGCTATGTTAATAAAATAATGCCAAACTAGTTTTCACAGCAGTACATAAATGGAACTATTGTACTCATAATGTGTAAATGGTTTACTCTCCTCCCTCCATGCCACTGTGGCAGAGTTTTTTGCTCCTGTAAAGAGCTCCTCATTTTGCCCTCTTAGTTTGATGAGGGTTCTGGATTGTTCTGATGTCCCTAGCACAAAAATAATATATATATATATATATATATATATATATATATATATATATATATATATATATATATATATATATATATATATATATATATACACACACACACACACACACACACACACACACACACACACACACATATATATATATATATATATATATATATATATATATATATATATATATATATATATATATATGTATATATATACATCTTCCTAAACACTGTTTAAACAGCCTGCCCTAAGCGGTGTGCAGATGTGCTCCTGCAGCACTAGTGATGGGACACCCCTTGTGAAACCATCAGCTGACTGACAGATGGTACAAACAATGCGTTTGTGTTATTTCCAGCAACAAAAATTATATTAAACATTGTTTCTCTCCCTGTCATTTTCTCTTTAACACTCATAACACAGGTAGGCTACAAAGCACACCCTGATGTAAGATTTGGGGTGGCACTGACCATCGGAGTCAAAAGTACTCATGTTGTTGGGCCTTTGGAGTGATAGAGTAAAGGTTATAGACGGGGCAGAAGTGGACTGGCAGTCTGAGTTCTGGACAATCCAAGAACGACTGGTGCTCTACTTACTCTAGCTGCAATGTTTCACCTCATTGGAAGTTGAGGGTGAAATTGCCCTTGTTTTCCAAGAGACTTACTTTGTTAAAAAAATGTAAAAAACTTAGATTGAAGTATATTAAAATAGCGGAAATTGCTGACTTTGTTTTTACAGAAATTCATGTGAATTAAATGCCAAGGTGCAATTATCAAAGAAAACATTTTAACCCTACTAAAGATTTTCTTATCAAGCATTTAACTTGTTGTCTTAAACATTTCAAAAAATACTTATAAACCTGATAAAACGTGTGTTTTGTGTATGTGCTTTAAGTCCTGAATAAACGTAAGTCTTAGTAACATTTTCAAGTATTCACATGAATTTGAACAACAAATTGAGGCTTTAGCTTTCTTGGCTTCATTTTACGTCAGCAAAAAAGCTTTTATTTTGAAAGAAAAATCCTGTTAGTTCAGTCTACCACTTTTAACAAAAAAAAATTAACAATCTTCACTCACCGGTTTTTCGACAAGTTTTTACTTATTGTACATTTATTGGCCAAAAAAGTTACCAAACGGTACATGCTTTTATTTTGTACCGGAAGTAGTTTCATTTTGGCAGCTGAGGCGTAAAAACGTGACGTTGCAGGATAAACAAACAGGAGGAGGCGAGGCAGCTCCTGTCTTCAGCCTGTGTCTGAGCGTTTCCGTTCATGTTTTTTTAAATAATAAAAATGCAGTCTTCCAAGAGGAGTGAGAGTGACTGGCAGGGACTAGTCAGCGAGGTAAGTGAAAACACGAAGCCGTAAACAGCTGCTGGAGATTCGGGCGGGCTAACGGATGTTCTGCTGTTCCATATGGAACCAGCTGCGTCGGTCTCTGGGCTAAATAAATAAATTAGTGTAGCATCACCTCAGCTGCTGTGGTCATCACCTGCTATCTGCTAGCTTACAAAGGCTACTAACATTCTAATTATTCCAAGCGATAATAAAGTGTAAACGCGGTGTACCCACCTGTGGGCCCACCTGGCGATATACTTCCTGAGGGACAGTTTGATCTTTAGGATTATTCAGGTGTGAGTTGACCAGGGGGCAGTTTGAAAATCTGGGGGGGCAAAGTTCCAATGTACCTCCCCCCCCCCCCCCCCCCCCCCCACACACACACACACACACACACACACACACACAAACTATTGCAAGCAACTTAATTAGAGCTCAGTCAGTTTGTGTAACTTTATCCAATGGTTTACGTAAAAACTAACACTTTTATATACGTGTTTGAAGCCATTATGAAGTGGAACGCTGACAACAAAGCTCTGCCTGATCAACACTATATGATAAATAATCCGCACTTGTATAGCGCCTCTCAGAGTAAGGACTCCAAAGCGCTTTACACTACAGTGTATCATTCATCCATTCACACACTGATGGTGATGAGCTACGATGTAGCCACAGCTGCCCTGGGGCGCACTGACAGAGGCGCCCCACCATTTAATTCAGTCATTTGTTATTCTTCCAATCAATTACTAACCAAAACCTCGTGCTTTATGCAAGACATTAAATGATTTTCAGCATACCGATCTTTACAGAAAACATAAAAGCCCTAAAAAACTGTACATAAAATATATTTAAAAACAATATTCATTTATCACTTAGAGCAGTAGTTCCCAAACGTTTCAGCCTGACCAACAGATGTTGTTTCATATTTTTACGATATTTAGAAATTTTCATTATATTTGGAAAGTTTTTATTTATATATAAATCTCTTTTTAAATTTTATATTTTACTTTTTTTATGATTATGTGGCACACTTGACTTCCATATATAACGCATCGGTATCTGCCTCTTTTTCACGGCTTTTTTTTTTAATTGTCGCTACGTCTATCACGTTAGCGGTGTTTTTACCATCATTTCTACATCCATCACGTCCCAGAGAAGGCTAAACCAACATCAAACCCAACGTTTGGAGCTTGTAAACTCCACACACCTCTCATGCAGCACCAGCTGTCTGATGCTGCAGCAGCGTCAATCTTCCCGGCTGGATGAGTGAATTTCTTCATCAGAGTCAATATTCTGCTTCATAATCAGTCAGTCATTACCAGACAAAGTGATCAGTCAACAAAGACCAGACCTGCCGGCAATTTTACGTTTTATCTAATATTTACGCTCTTCATGTTGCGCGCATCTCCTCCTCTCCCCGACTGGGAGCCTCTCGGCGGGAGGCATTTTTCAAGCTCTAAAAACTCCCAAACTTTGCTCAGCCTGAAGGTTACACATCTCCACTATCTTCTGGTGTAAAGTGTCATATTTGTAGATGAGACTTGTTAAATTCAGCAATGAGGCTTTGGTGCTTACAACGAGTAAGTCCCAACACTGACAACAATGTACTGAATCTAGAACCAACATGCATAAACAGACCGATCGGTCCCGCCTACTTACATTGTTGGTCTTTTTTAAATACGCAGTAATCGTTGCTTGTCTTTTTCGCTTCATCCTGCATCCTAGCAGCAACCACTTTGGCGCCTCTGGAGTCGGTGTTTGTTTACGTCATGCTGCATTCAATGTAATTGGAAAAAGGAGCTTCAAGCGCTTAACCTCCGATTTTGTTTTCTTTCTGGCCTTAGTTGGGGGGGACAAATCGGGGTCGATCTGAATCTGGGGGGGACAGATCCCCCCCGTCCCCCACCCTATCTGCGCGCCTGGAGTTGACAACAACGTCACATAAAGCTATGAGCTAAATAGTTAGCAGAATTGCATGAGCACCGTTTAAATGATTAGAAACTGATTCCAAATAAAATTAAAGTGTTTTAATTATGAAACTTAAATCCCAAAATTTCAAATTGAAATCTAGTTTTGTTAAAAGTTAATAATCTGTTCTGATCTATATAAAGGACACGTTTCTATTTCTATTTAGTCGTTTAATGATAGATAAACTTTAGAGAAACATATTAAACAAAATCACTCCTGGGGACTGAAATACATGTAAATAAGGCCAGAAAAGAAACAAAAGTGAAGTAGGCCTACTTATTTATTGTTGTTGGCGGGAGTTTTCCAAAGTTGAGAAACTTCCAATTGAAAGGTTGCTCTAATTATGTTTTGTTAGGAATTAGGATGCAAAAAAAAAAAAAGAAAAAAAAAAGAATATCCTGTAGGAGCAAATAGTTTTATTTTAGGCCCTAAAAGGAGATGGTCAATATATCGGCATCAATATCGGTATCGGCAATGTTAGCCTTTTTTAACATGTCTGTATCGGTTGGAAAAATAAAACTGGGCTGATATTAACAACCACTATTTTTTCCATCTTTTCACTATTTGTTTGCCTGTTTCGGGGGGGATGTGTAATATTTTAGTCATGTGAACAGTGATTGTAGTCATCTCAGAATCGTAAATGTGTGTGTGCATAATAACGTAAATTCAGCTTTAATAATAATTTTCATTCTATATAAAATCTGCTGATTTTAGAAGCATTAATGTCAGTATATCGGTATCGGCAAATATCGGTTTTCGGCCTTAACATTGATCTTAATATCGGATATCGGTATCGGCCCAAAAATTTAATGTCGGTGCATCACTAACCACAACACATGTCAACACTTTTCCTATGTGAAAGAACCCTAACCTAGTACTAAAAATAAATGTTCTACTTGTTTACTTTCTTCTACTGTTTATTAAAAATGTCATGCCTTGTATTTTCCCCTTGTACAACTATATGGATCTAGGGCATTACCACACTTGAATGATTTCATAACATGATCAGAGATTAATTTATACCACATTTTCTTTATTGTTCTTCAGCGGCATTTCATTTGTTTTCAATCCAAAACGCATTCAAAGCTTATTTTTAAGAAGTCACAGACTAAGACAGATTTAGCCTACATATAATTTTTTATTCCAACATTAAATTTAAAAAATATAAATAAATTAAATTCTTATGTCTTTCTTTCTCAGCATTTTTTTAATTGCCTATAAAATACTTTCATTATTTTTAATAATGAAAGTAACTGTATCTGTGTGTGTTTGTGTTTTGATTTGATGCAGTTCCTGGTGTGTAAGCGCAAGCTGGAGAGCAAGAAGGAGGCACTGTTCATTTTGTCCAAAGAGCTGGATACCTGTCAGCAGGAGAGAGACCAGTACCGGCTGATGGCCAATCAGCTGCGTGAGCGCCATCAGGAACTGAAGAAGAAATACGGAGAGCTCATCGTGAGTGGTTCAGACCTTCAGACACCCCTAAATTTAATATAATGACTCATTTCTAGAACAAACTATGTGAATTGGCTAAAAACAAAACATTTTAGCTATTTCTGTATGGCGGTGCTACTCACTCCTTGTCCTGGAGAGCTGGTATCCACCATGTTTTCCTTGTTCCTCTACTCCAACACACCTAATTCAGTGGTTGAATCACCTGTGCAGCAGCTCATCAAGCTCTTCAGAAGCATGTTAATCATCTGCTGATTACAATCAGATGTGTTGAAGAGGAGTGAAAACTAAAACATGCTGGATACTGGCTCTCCAGGACCCGGAGTGAGTACCACTCCCATATAATATCATGTTTTCTAATAAGAACAGAGAGATTAGGACCATTCACTAAACAAGAAATTGAGTTTGTTTGTCCTCTGGTGCTTCATTAAACAGCACACGTGTTAAATTCCACAAAAAAAAAACACATCAGGGTGTTTGTTTGCAGATCAGAGATGAGTTTGTGCAGAGCTGCAGAGCTCATTAGCTGCACACACTAATTGTTTATCTATAGGGCATGCTGTGATCTTTGGGGGAAACCGGAGCACCAGGAGGAAACTCACGCATGCATGGGGAGAACATGCCCCTCCATGCAGATTGACCACAGCTGAGTTTTGAACCTGCAACCTTCTTGCAGCGAGGCAACAGTGCTAACAGCTGTACCACCATACAGCCCAACATTCAATCAGCAATCTGACCTCTCTGTGATTTCCCAATTCAAATAGTAATCATTTAATTCATCATGTACTAATTGTATTCTTATTAGTCAAAATTGCAAATGAAGATGTCAACAGCTGTGTTGTTACTATAGAAGTTATAAATAAGGATATTATCCATAATAACGGCACTAGTAGGAGTTAAGTTTGAGAAATCTCAAAATCCCTAAAAACCTAAGGTGGTCTTTTTAACATTTAGCCTAGATATGTATACCATCTATAATTCCTAGTAGCAGAGCCGTGTCCAGGACTTTTAAAATGGGGTGGTCCATGTGGGGCACTTGTTTATGCATGGGTGGCACCAATGGTTATGCTTATTTATTTATTTACACAAATTGTTTATTTATTTATTTACTTGAATTTTGGAGTTTCACATTGCAGTCACCATTTTTTTCTATTCATGTTCAAGCTTTGTGGTGGTTGGCAAGTCACTTCTTGTTGCATTACTGCCACCAACTGGAGTCGAGTGGGACTCTAAATACTATTTATGTGAATATGAAAAAATAATAAATAATATTAATACTACAGAAATGTTCTGTAGGCCTGGGCTAGAAGACAATGTTAAAGGTGCATGCTACCACACACTGTTTTTGGAGTTTACAACTCAAGCCTTTTGTCGACAATGTAAAGTAAATTTAAACTGGAACTTAGTAGGGTGGCACCTGGGGTGGCCAATCAGATTCTAAGGGTGGCATGTGCTACCCCAGGCCACTCCCTGGACACGCCCCTGCCTAGAAGAAATAAACATTCCAGATATCCATGAGAACATCTTACTGAATGAACCTTTAAGATATCTGCAACGTTCTTTCTAGATGGTAAGATTCATTCTGTTAAGAAAAATCTTTCACGTTATAGATATTATAGAACATAACAGCTTTACAGAACATAATCGAGCATCGATTTGAACCGGTTCCAACTGTTAGTTTTTCCCGGAATCGTTCAAAGTTTTTTTTTTTTTTCGATTCCTAGAATGCAGACAGAAGAGGAATCTGCGGCCGATCTCCGTGAAAACTAAACGTGATCTGCAAATTGTGATCAATGCCTTTCAGAGCTGATCACACCAGCTGTCTGTGTGCAGCACAGAGTCCCCCCCTCCCCCCACCCGGCGCTCAACAGCCAAATATAAACAAACGCGTCTGCCAAACTTGTACTCCTTCAGGTAAACTTTTAACAACTGCAGCGTAGAGGAAACTTGTTAAAATACGTCAACACGGTGGATTTAATAGAAGCTTTAAAGAACAAACTCTGGATGGTGTGAGGTGAGTTTGTCTCACTGTAGAAAGATTAACACACAGTCAGACGCAGCCGCTCACCAACGTGTGTGTGTGTGTGTGTGTGTGTGTGTGTGTGTGTGTGTGTGTGTGTGTGTGTGTGTGTGTGTGTGTGTGTGTGTGTGTGTGTGTGTGTGTGTGTGTGTGTGTGTGTGTGTGTGTGTGTGTGTGTGTGTGTGTGTGTGTGTGTGTGCGTGCGTGTGCGTGCGCGCGTCAGAAGGCTGAACAGTAACCTGTAGAATAATTAAAGTCATCATGCTAGAGTTGTCAAAAGCCCGTATGAGCTCTGGGATGATGAAAAACGTTGGTCCGATTTGCCGTTTTTATTTATTTTTTATTTTTTTCACAGATCTGCTGAGGAGACATTTATTCCCTTTTAACAGAAAGTCTGGAGCCTTCGCTCGTGAAAATAAAAGGCTTTCAAACATCTGGAGGCCTACGATTATTTTGTTTTCAGGAAAGTTGAGCCGATCTCTTCTGAAACAGAAAGCGGTGGTCATGCTAACAGCAGCAGTTACCTCAGACGAGCAGAGCCACAGCTTTATTTACATCACCTGTGGGTGACAGCCAAAAAAATGGTTAAATCCTCACAGTGACAGCTAAGAGGGGTAAGACTTAATTAACCTGGGTCCTTAATGAGAACGTGAAAATATTAATGTTTTTAAAACATCTTCTCTAAATTACAAAGGCACAAGGACTTGCCACAAACAAAATGAGCATCACTGACTGTCCTTTGCTGCAGGAATCCAGGCTTTTTTAGGAATGGCCGGATCGCCAGGTATCTTTCATATTTTGCGGTCGTTTACTGAGAAAATTCTAATAATGTTTTATTCAAGCCTCCCACGGGCCGAACAACCAACCACACAGGAAGAATGACCCATCTGCTATGCTAAATCCTCCTCCAAATGCGTAAAACAAATAAATTATAAGCAAAATGCATTACATAATACACTGTTTCTTGCCACACAATCCCGTGATGCAATGCGAGAAACATAAACATCGACGTCACAAAAGAACCTCATGTAGCTTTGCGTTGCAACTTAATTCATTCACCGTCCGTCGTCTTCCACATCCATGGAGTCCGGCTGCAGAAGCAGCAACCCGCTTGACCACTTCTCGCCTAGATTGTTGTAACTCAGTCCCCAGTCTCTACATAAACTTCAACTGGTCCCAACACTCTGCTGCTCGTATCATGAAAACATCCTCCTCTGTAACTGTGTTTTATCATGGTTTTAAATGTAGTTCTTCACTGTAATTATTTTCCTTTGTTGTGTGTAACGGAACGGAATGACTCTAATTTTTCCCTTCTTTGCTCAAGACTAGTCTGCATGAGATATAACTCAAGGTCTCATGCATTCCTTCTAACCAGCTTATTTTCGGCTCAACATAAGAACGAAGAATGAACTCTTTTCTTTTAATTAATCAAAGAACTCTATTTTAATAAAGCTAATCCATCAAAGTATTAGTCAATAAATAACATGTGACCGATCTGTGAAATCAAAATATTAATTACTTTACTATGATCCTATAGAATATAATAAGTAATATGACTTTAGGTGTTCCAACAGGACTCATTTCACGTAGCGTTAAAAAGACATAACACATTCTTTCACTGATCCAATCAGAATCATACCTGACGGAGGCGTGGTTCTGATGGTGTTTGGTAATTTTCATTCGACAATAAACCAAAACATCCGAAGTATAAAACTATGTCACGTCAGCTCTAACGCCAGTTCAAAGCGTTCCAGAGAAAGTGACGGAGTGGCCAATCCTGATCTAAACTCTTTAACCGAAAGAACAACGACAAGCTGAAAAATCCAGTCGCTATAACAACCAGTGGCAACAGTTCCTTTCAGAACAAAAGCTCCACCTTCCGGACCCAGGCTTGGGTCTCACCAGAAGCCAATACTTGTCGTGTGCCCGGAAGTAACTCAAGACGGGTCTGATCGGAACCACGGCTTTTCCTACCGGCTTGGTTCCAGAGAGGGTCCACTGGACCTCGATATTCCTGATCTACAGAGGACTTCCACCGAAGGCAAGGTAGATCGACATAATGGTGTCTCATGTGTTTCTGAAGCTAACCAAAACTTCATGCGAAACAACATCTTCAGTTCCCGTCAGAACAATCGCTTCTTCGGATTTGCTGGTTCTGATTTAACATCACACGTCATCCATCCACCGTCTCATCCATTTTTAGTTACACCATACATTTAGTTTTGAAGTCGGTCTAGTTTAATTTGTTAGTAATAAAATTCTTAACTTTTAAACTTGATTCTCTATTCTGTTGTCTCTGAGTGAATACGTAACGGTTTTCTAATCTCTGCAATAAAAAGATCCAATATTCTGGTTTAAATAACTCTGCGATCTGTAAGGTTTCATATTTCCTATGGAATCCCACGCCTTATGGCTCATTAATTAAATGTAATTCTACTTCATTACATGTGCTTGTGTTGAGTGTTCTAAATCCCTATACTGTACAGTGACCTAGAGTTTTTCAAATAAAATGTATTATTATTATTGTTGTTGTTGTTTTATTTTATTATTATTTTTATTATTATTATTTTTTTATTAACCCAAGTAGAGAAGCAAACGGCCTCCTCCCAGCCACTTAGACCAACTCCTCTGGGGAAATCCTACGGCAGGGATATTCAGTTCTGGGCATGGAGGGCCGGTATCCAGCAGGTTCTAGTTTTAATCCTGCTTCAACACACCTGATTTCAATCAACTGGTGATCAACAGGCTTCTGCAGAGCCTGATGAGCTCCTGCACAGGTGATTCAACCACTGAATTTAGTGTGTTGGAGCAGTGAAACCGCTATAACGTGTTGGATAGCGGCCCTCCAGGTTGTCCTACAGTGTTCCCAGTCCAGCTGAGAAACGTACTCCCTTCTGCGTATTCTTGCTCCACTTCTCAGTAAAACAAAAATATCACATCCTCAACTGTTTCGGAGGGATTATATGCTAACTTTCCCAGCTGTGTCATTACAAGTGGCGGCTTTCTGAAACAGATTGTGTTATGCAAATAATTCCTGAAACCAAACACTGACAGAAAACAGATGAATGTATTTTTTTCATGTTGAGTGTTTTTAAAGGCAGAGACCCAAATGGACACACAAAAGGATGCAACAAGTCAGACTTGAACAAAATGTTTAACTGTTCAAATTTCTCAACCACCACAAAAAAACATAGCTAAAACGTTTGCTGTTGTTTCTCTAATAGATGTGTTTTTTTTTCTTTTAATTTAGGATGGCGACTCCTCTTTGCCACCGGAAAAACGCAATCAAGTAATTTTTTTTCCTCTTACTGTTATTTCAGTTCAAGTAGATGCAAAGTAACCTCGCTTTGTGATATTTACTTAGTTAAGTTACATAAAATGTAAGGGTAGGTTCATCTGGTAAATACCGTAGTAACTCTTTGTGTTGCATTCAAGGACCCTGTGATGATCATAATTATATAAAGAACATTACAATCTCTCATCTGTTATGTTCGAAAAACAAACTCTGTTTGGCTAATTTGTGTTGCTGTTGAAACATTTTAAAGTGCCGTTTTGCACCTTCTGCTGATAAGTGGGATGAGGTCCTGACTGATCGTGTGTCCTGGTGAATTCAACTCTTTCACGCTTCCTCCTCAGGTGAACTTGGGTCAGCTTTTACGGGACTCCAGAGGGCGAGTGAAACAGCTGACCGGGGAGGTGAAGGACCTCACTCAGAGGCTCGACGAGACTCAGGGCGATAACAAGGTGCCGTCGGTATCACGACACACGCTGTTTAACCATCTGATAAAACGTGTGAGCATTTTAGAGGAACTAGAAGTTGTGCATCTCTTCTACAGCTGCTGAGGATGACTATTTCTCGACAGAGGCTGGGGGATGAAGAGGTGGGAGTTCGTCACTTTCCCGCCCATGAGCGAGAGGATTTGGTTTCCCAGTTAGAGAGAGCGGGGCGCCAGGTTCATGTGTTTTCTTAAATTTAAAACCATTGAGCACCAATTTCTTGAATGCTTCACTATGAACCTCTTTTTTTATGAATAGCGTTTTGTTTCCTGGTGTGTTTTATCTCAGATTTATTGCATCCAAGAAGAGAAGCCCATCCTAAACTTTTAATCTTTCAACAATGAAGCCCCTGCAGCAGAAATGAGCGCCTCTGATGTTTTGTCTCAGAACGCCGTTTTACTTATAACTACATTTTTATTCTGGGTTTTTGGTACCTCTAAATTCATCCTTAATTGATTATATATGGTGCATGGATAAAACTCCCACATGAATATCATGAAAATTAAAACATTAAGTCAACGAAACATCAAACGCAATTCTGCTTTTAATTAATAAATGTAAATATTATAGTCCTTTTATTTTAAAAAACTGTTAATTAGAAGATTATTAGAATAAAGAAACAACCAGATGTTATTTCACAACTGAACTTCAAACTCACATTGTCTAAAAACATTCTATAATGTTTTTAATGATTACATCAAATTTTAATCTGCTAGGATTTTTTTTGTATCCGTTTTGCTGCCCCAGCTCAGAATCGACTGCATTAATCTTGCTTGAGGTTTTGTAGGGATGCTTCACCTAAACTATTGTTGGTTTATATTATTTTAATAACCGACCGTCTCCTTCTCCATATTATTTAATAAACTTGTATTTGTGATGCGTTTGCTTGTTGACCAGCTAGCTAAAAGCGATTCATAAGGCTAGCCCGCTCCCTCTGTTTGGATAGTCACATTTCTCGAGGTTCCCCTTCCTCCATCTTTTAGTTCTTTTTAAAACACAGAAAGGTTTTAGTTACCTGCAACGTTTCGTTTGCGGCTGCAAACTTCGTCAGGCTGACGCTGACGAAGTTTGCAGCCGCAAACGAAACGTTGCAGGTAACTAAAACCTTTCTGTGTTTTAAAAAGAACTAGAAGATGGAATTATAATTTCAACACAGCAAGAACACACCAAAGATCCCCTTCTTCCTGCTCTGATGGAACCTACTGAAGAGTCTTTCTTCTAAATCGAAGATTTAATTTAGGATACATGTGGGATTTGTCCTCGCTATCCTGTCTTCTCCTGTCACCTCGCACACAGGAGAGTCTGCAGCAACCTTTGTTTCATTAGAAGCATCAATATAAAGAGTGGATTACTTATAAACTTGCTCACAAAATACTAGATGTGGTTGATCTTTTCCCAACAAACTAAATTCCACGGTCCAGTGTCATATTTTCTAAATCTAATGGGCTATTCCCATCTGTACCGGGTCGGCCCGGGCCGGGTAGCGTAGGTTGTTTACATATCTGGGTGGCCTGGTATTTTTCCGGGCCAACCAAGGCTCATTCTCAGCCCTCTTCTCGAGGGGGTCT